TGTTGTGTTGCTCTGTATCCAGAATGTCCCTGAGAGTAGGGGCTTTGAATGCCTTGTTCCCTGATGTGTCCCCAGGGTTAGAAGGGAGATGTAGGAGTCAGGGCCCAGTCTCACTATGTAGGAGGAAACACATGCTCCACTGTTGGACTGTGTTGGATTAATTTGCAGTGGGCTTATTCTGAGAGCAAGAGCTGCATTTAGCTTCTGGGCCATTAGGATCCCAGAGTAAATTACTTTTCCGAACCCTGAATAGTATGCAGGAGATTTGAAAAGAACTGATACAGTTTCTAAAGCTGCCTAACTTCCTCCCAGGAACTCACTCCCACACTGTGACCATGACCACCAGAACAGAATTAGAACCTGAACTATCAGTCCAAGAAAGTTGGCTCAAAGGCTGAAATTGAAAAGCCAAATGCATGGTATAGAACAGAGTGAATTTGGAGTCCTGTATCCTCCCCTAGAGTAGAGGAAGGACACTCTGGAGACACTCGCTTCTCAGGGGTTCAGTATAACCAGCATCTCGGTTATTTGCACAAGCATGTGTGTCTACAGCACTGACTCTGAGACTAAATCCAATCATGATAGGGGAAGGAAACAACATTGCTAGGTTTCCTCAACTGTTAATTAACTTTATGGTATAAAATAGCTCCAGAGTAAAAACAAGTCCAATTCACGCACCTTCTTAAAGCATCTTTTCTTACCTTGAAAGGAAAGGACGAGTGATTTGAACAGCTTGAAGTTTGGACAGTTGAAGAAGCCAGGTAGGAGGAGTGATATGAAAGCCTTGTCATCCTCCTCCCCACACACACCCTTTTCATCTTAACTAGAGTGCCAAAAAACGGAAAGAGCCCATGCTGAAGCCTTCAGCTTTATAAAGACTTTGCATATTTTTATTGTGATTATAGTGAAACACGGTAAAGTGGCTCATATTTGAATCCAGAAAAGAGAAGATGAGTATCTGAGCATTTTGTGAGTTACACAGCCCCACTGGCAGAGCCACTGTGGCAGTCGAGCCCCAGACTCCTGACATGTATAGTGTTGATTGTGGTTGCAGAGGCAAATCATTTATCTTGAAAGAGGCCAGAAGTTATTTTGAGTGGAATCCCAGGGGTAAATTAGAGGTCAGAGCTGAGGAAACAAAATGCCAAGGCTGATCTAAACCAAGGTATGGCCAAGACGTACACGTTCCCAAAACTGGCCCTGGAATCCCTAGCAAAAGGAAAAGCCCAAAGAAGCAGGAAGCTAAGGCAGTGAGTAACATTGGCGTGAAGTCAGAGCCCATGCAAGGACTCCACAGAAGAGGATCATTTGTTTGGGCATGTAATTCCTGATGTGTTTGTTTTCAAAATGAAAACTTTAATAATAGTGTCATGCCTTTTGTTTTCCTTGGAGCATACTTGTCTAGTCATCTTCCTCTGGGGATAAGGAGAATCCTGGGAGGGAGAGAGACTTTCCAAGGAAGTCCCTGAATCCTCAGTAACTATCCCATGTTAGTACTGTGCAGACATCCCTGCAGTCCATTGAAAGAAAGGTTCGTTTCCAAGAGTCACTAAGTTGTAATAACTTTGGTTTGGGTGACTCTGATACATGCCCAGAAAGGCCTCTTCTCATGGATCATCCCAGTGCATGTGGGCTAGGCAGAAATTGGGGGGGCTATCAGGCCCCCCACTGGTTCCCACCCTCACCCTGACACTTCCTGGCCACGATCTTGGGGGTGAGTGACTCCAATTCCATGTTCCACTTTTCTGTGGAATTGAAACAGTATCCTATCCAAGGAGCTGGGGAGAAATAGGAAGTGTTTAGCATGTTACCAGGTACACAGGCAGCCATTCAGTAAGTAGAAGTTATGACTGATTGATGCTGGGTATTAAAGAATAAAACACAGTGTCATTGTCAGCATAAGTAAACCAGTTGGACTAACGCAGTGGTCAAAATTAAATGGTTCAACCCAGTCAATAGGCAAAAGTAAACTGAGTGTTTTTAGTTGGAGAGGCCCAGTCTCGGTTTCTGTATTCCTCTTAAGACCAAGTGCTTAGAATGTTACTTCGTTTTGTTTTGAATAATTTCTTCTCAGGTTGTGCTGGTTCCCCCAAAGGCTTTGGTGACTTTACGGACTTTGTACAAAGTAGCCTCCACATCTTCCTGTTCCTCTTCACTCTGTTCTATCAGACCTCTGTTGAAATTCTTGGCCTTTCAGGGGAAACTTAAGTCAAACTCAAAATGCTTCTGTGAAACCTTATAACTAAAATCTAATCTGATCTGGGCCAGGCAGCAGCCACCCTGGTAAAGATGAGCCCAGAGGTTTTCCAAAAACAAGTGTCCTCCATTTACTTCACGTGAAAAATGTAGTAAAGTGGTGATCAATCCTTGTGTTAAAGACGAATGTGATGTGGTTTTATACTGGGTTTGAAGAAACAGAATTTGCTGTTATGAAATATGTTGCTACTAGGCTTTAAACTGATTAAATGTAGAGGTTAAGCAAAGCACCCTTGTAGAGCAACAGGAAGGAGTAATTGTTGTCATCTCTGGGGCATTTGGGGACCCTCCTAGCCTAGAGCAGTGCATGCTGACTCACTCCTTGTTAGACACTGAAATCAGCTCAGCCTTCTCTGATCACTGAAAGTTTTGTGTCATCAGAAAGTATTTCTAGGAAGTGGCGCTGTGGCTCAAGCGGTAGAGCGCTCACCTTGAGCTGAAGAGTGCAGGGACAGCGCCCAAGCTCAGGGTTCAAGCCCCACGACCGACCAAAAAAAGAAAAAGAAAGAATTTCTAGAGAGCCTCAAGCACATCAGAGGCAAAATAAGAAGGCTTCTACTGCAGCTCCCATCTGACGGCGGACTGACATTAGCCTGTATGCCCTGCTCAGCTAATATCCCAGTAATACCAGTGAGATAACTTTCAGGTCTCAAGTTGACTTTGTTGCAAGTGAACTAAAGCTCACATTAACAAGGCTTCTACCACTTTCTGACCACCCCTAAGTCAGGTTCAGGTTTTTCTTAGCACTGATAATAGTAAAAATTTGTTAAATGTCTCAATGCCCTGGTAATGTTTAACACAGAATTGGCATTTTTAACCTCTTGGCCTAATTTTGATCTTACCAATATTAGTAGTGCTAATTAAATATTCTCAGATGTAATGAGCATCTTTTCAAAGATCATAAGAAAATATAGGCCATTGTTTGGCCTTGAGTTGTATGCCATTTCAACAGAATCCTCATCCTTTGTGGTTTTGCTCCTGTCCACCTCCTTTTCTTTGGAAGACAACTAGCAAAAGTGCACAGAGGTAAGGGGCAGAGAGTGATGGCTGAGTTGGAGCAAGGAGTTTAACTTCTTAAATCACCGCTCACAGTAATGGATTACTCAAATTTTACCCAGTGATAATTGGTCCCTCCCGAGCTATTACTAGGTTTATGTAAAATGTAATCAGTAGTTTTTGCTTTGTAAAGGGATGTTTCCTTTCCTACTGAATTCTCTACATAACAGACTCTAGATTTGATGGCCAAATGAGTGTCCTAGATGAAATGATGGCTGGTGGTTGAATGACTGCAACTTCCAGGTTACATTAGGCTCACTAAGACTGTTCATCCAGTTTGCCATGTACACTTTGAATACATTAGTGACATCGCCTCCATTTAAGAACTATGTTTTAGCAAAAATGGGTGCCATGCATTTGGCTTGTGAAGCTTATATGCAATACACCAGAACACTTTGTATAGAACATTTGCAAATGTAGTAAAGTATATGTAATTTTAATAGATAATGGAAGATGGATTTCTGGTTACAGTTAGAACTTCCTATCATTACTCAGTGTCCCCTGTTGAACCTTAGCAGCAATAGAGTGACAAGTATTGAGAAATAGAGATTATGCATTATAACACCCGACCTGTTTCTTCCTGTGATCAAACATACTGGGTTCTGAACTTTGCATCTGCTCAGTCAACAATGCTTTCTAAGAGATGCTGGGCTGTGGACCACACAGTTCTATGGAACTTGCTTCCAGATTTATAGTGTTCACTAGTGGCCAGTGGTCCATGGAGCTGCCTTTAAATTTAAGCATAAACTTTTCCGCCTCAGTAGGATGGTCTAGCCATTGGCCTGCCCACAACAGCAAACCCTTCAGACTTCTCCATGGACTGCCCCATTTCTGCCTGGCTGCTAGAACTGCTGGTCACTTGGGTTCACTTAGAACCCCTGTTCTTGAGCTCCAGCTGTGAAATGTGATCACTCATGAATAAGTCAGAAGGGAAAGGAACTTTCAAGGAAAAAGGTTGGCAAATGGGAACTAAGGATGGGGGTATGATAAGAATGAGAAAATGAGGATGGGGGTGTGACAAGAAAAGCAGAATGTTTAAGCTCTAAATTCCATGTTCTCCATTAAAGTAATCCTAATAATGTTTTTCCTCAAGTATGCTTTTGAAAAAAGAGAAAACTGAAGTGAAATAAAGTTGTTTCTGGAATGGAAATGTCCACAGTGGTGAGAGGGAATTCCACACTGTGTCCCTGGAAAAATGAAGGCAATGGTTCTCTCTGGTTGGCTTCCTCTACTCCACTCACCCCCCTCCCCCGGCCTCCTGTCCCCAGCGGAGGGGTATCTGTGATGGAGAAAGCTATCTGTTCCTGTAATGTTGCTCACCACTCTGACTGTACGTCAGGGTTTCTTGACTGTGTCTCTGTAAATATACTTGGCTGGACCTGTATCTCCTATCTATCTCTTTCTTAGATGATAGTCTAGTGGCACTCTCCCTGTGGGGAGTATTCCCAAATGGTTGTTACATGGACCACCTGCATTAGTTAGCCTCGTTCTTGATCAGGGTCTGGCCACAAAGGAAGATTCCACAGGTTCGCCAAGGAAAATGCCAATGGGACGGGAGGAAACCAGATTCCAGTGTGCTTTTACTGAGCTATGTACTGCTCTGCTTTCTAAGCAGAGGCTGAGCTATTGTATGCTGTTACCTCAAACTCCACCATGTATTGTTTTTTTTTGTTTTCGTTTTTCACTAGAAGACACAATTCCAAAGAAGGTGGTGTGTCACTTCAGTGGGAAGGCCTACGCTGATGAAGAGCGGTGGGACATTGACAGCTGCACGCACTGCTACTGCCTACAGGGCCAGACCCTCTGCTCAACTGTCAGCTGCCCGCCTCTGCCCTGTGTTGAACCCATCAATGTGGAAGGAAGTTGCTGTCCAATGTGTCCAGGTATCTAAGTCACCATCCTTCCAATTTCTAGCTGTAACCTTGATTTAAGATAGAATTCAAGCAGCTTACTTACCCACCCACAAATTCATCTGGCCCAAGTAGTGTGAGCCAGTTTAACATCCTCTGACATGGAGTCTCTGGGGTCCAGGTAAGTGAGAGCTGATTGGCCAGAATTGTTAGGTTCCGCTGATTTGTACTCTTTGAACATTTTGTGGCCGTATACCACATTGGTATAGCACCCTCCTAATGACACCTTGCCCTATCAGAGTGGCAATTTGGGTGCCTTGGTGGAGCAGCCGAGGCAGAAAGGGGTCCAAGATCAACCTTAGAAAGAATATGCAGTCCTTCTCTGAGTGCGTGGCAGAAGCCAAATGGAAGTGCTGCATTTAAGGAGTGCAGCTCTCATTTATGCCTCTATCCGTTGTCCTTTTTCAGGCTTCCACCCTCCTGTCACATGCAGCCACTCTCAAGCCCCTAGCTCTGTTGTTCATTTCTGCCCACATGCAACATAACCACTGAGCCCGCCCACTCTTCATGTCAACTGTGTCATTCAATATCTTTGTTTCTAACCTAAGCCCCTCACAGCTGCCCAGATCAGCCCCTGAGATCTTCTAGTTTCTATGTCTCCATCTCCTGCCAAAAAAGCTCCTTTATTTTCTGCCTCTGATCCCAGAAAAACGTGGCCTTGGCCTGTCACAAGAGGAAGGGATTTAAGCTAGAGCTGAAAGTCAGGTGGACTCTCTTCATTGGATGAAGAAGAGTTGGGAGAGGTGAAGGCTAATGCTCCTGGAGCAGTAAACTCTAGTTTCTGTGTCTTGCACATGGAAGTAGCTGAATCGTTCATGAATTCTAGAAGAGAGAACGGCATGCTGCTTAAAACATGCCCAAATGAAAACAGGTAAATCACCGGGTGCTTCCTGTTCTATCTGCCTCCGTTCATCCTAATCAGTGAGGTTTGCAAAAAGAAAAAAAAAATGATTGTTTTGGTAATTGTACTATTTTTTTACATGGTGTTAGAAAAATTATACTATAAAAGTTCATCTCCTACAAGGACTGATGGACTTGTGGAAACACCTCCACACTAAGAAGCCCTGCTCACGCACCTGACTCCCTGAGACAACTCACATGTCCATAGCACTGGCACCAGCCTGCTGCAGGCTACCACTGCTGCTGCTGCTGAGCTAGCTTCAGGCTACCAGGAAGGAAGCAGTCCTCTTAGCTCAGAAACCATGGCGGAGGTGAATGGTGCCCAGGATAGCACTGTCGCCCCGCTCCACCCCATGCAGCTAAAGTGTTTGGGTACACTGCGTGACTCAGAGATGCATGGTAGTGGACATAGTGCAGGTTCCCCCCATGTCCTCTGCCCAGGAAAGCTTGCAGCCTCTGCAGCTACTCAGGTTCCTCATCAGGACCAAAGAGCTGCACATCTCAGAGTGAACACTCACAGAGACCCAGGAATTGCAAAAACACTTAGCCACTAATCTCACCCAGGAAAAAAAACTGAGGTAGAACTGAGTTGATCCCAGCTCTGGGGCTTCTGCAGAAGCAAGCTGTTGACATTCACAGGTTTGGTGGGTACTGAACTGAGATTCAGCTTTCCACTGAGCCCTTGAGGTCAGGTCTCTGTCCTTGTATAAGTTCATGGGAAGACCCATGGTTCAAGGTGCCCCGGGCACCAAGGCCTGTGGAGGGCTTATGCACTGAAACATGTCATCTAAATGTTTTTCTTCCCAAGTTCATCCAGAGACTCATTGCACACATCAAACTCTCTTAATAGGTAGGATAAGTACCACTCCTACCAGTGTGCACATCCCCAAATCACCCAATCTACGCCTACCAAACCAGGGCCTACGGGGTCACATGGGTTATAAATTCTTCAGTAACTCTGACAGGATATTTTTGATTGAGAGTCATTTATACTCAGTCTCCTGCTCCTGAAGATGATTCTTTTCAGCAAATTCAGTTTTTAATTCTGGAATTTGCAGGGACTTTACTTAAGGGAAACAATCATTCTTACAGGCCTTACACGTAAGAAAGCAGAAGGTTAGAAAACTGAGGCTAAAGCAACTTCATTCTTGGAGGCAATAGGAACGCTCCAGCTGTGGAATCACAGAACTACATTGGGATATAGTCACTAGATGCACAGTCTTGATTCCTTACAGTCTCTTGAGTGTAAGTCCCTGGCTGGATGCCTCCTTAGAGCACAATGGGCCTGCTTCTCTGTACACCTCTCATGGCTCACATTCATCTCAAGGCTCTTCTGAAAGCCTGGTAATTTGGGGATAGAAAACAATCACTCTCATCAGAGAAGAGTATTGATCCTGTTTTAATCTGTATTCTGCTTATTTTGTTTTAGTCTTTAGGAAAGAATATTTAGGAGTATAAATGTCAACTGACCTCTTTTTAAAAACATTAATTAATCACATGACACGATCTAGCAGAGAGGAAATAAATGAGTGTCACATTTATTAAAAATAGAGACTCTCAAGAGTTACATCTTTAAAATCTAGGGCTAGCTGTTGTCAGCTAGATGAAGTGTAGATATAAAAATATATTTGTATTTTCTGAGAACAGCTCTGACTTTTTCCTCTGGTTTTAGAATTTGACTCTCAACCTAGCCTACTTAATTAGATGGTTTGGTTTGATGTTGTATCTTGTGATCAGATACCTGTATGATCAACCAGATACTGAAAATACAATCACTAAAGATTAAATTCTGGACTAAATAGTTCCCTGGGAAACATGATGGATATTTGAGTCCTAACTCAGGCAGCTATCATGTAGTCTATATGCATTCATTCCCTGTAGGGAAATGGTCAAGAAATGCATTTGCAGTGTAGATAAGCTTTAACTTTTCAAATTCTGCTGACAATTTGTAGAAGTGAGTTAACTTTGACAGTTAAGGAGAAAAATTAAAATTAGTACAGTATTTTGCCCATGCAGGGTAAAAGAAACCATTTTATTTTAGCCAACATTCATCAGTTTATCATTTTGTACAAAACCAACACCATTTGACTAAAAAAAAAAAAACTCTCTCTTTTTATGATGTTATAAGAAATATTTCCTACCATGCAACAAAGCTAGTGACTCTGTAGCATTAATGATAGATGGAAATATGGAAGTGGAACTTCCGTGTCCCCGGAAATACAGTGTTGAATGTCCTTAAATTGAGGATATGAAAAACAAAAATAAGAAGGGCAGCATTTCCATCATCTCTTACGCAAAATGCTTCCTTCTAGAAATGTACGTCCCAGAACCAACTAATGTACCCATTGAGAAGAAAAATTACCGTGGCGAGATTGACCTAGACGTCCCACTGTGGCCCACTCCCAGTGAGAATGACATCATCCATCTCCCTAGAGGTAAGCATTGAAGTCACTTGAGATCTCTTCAATCTCCTTTATAGTCTGCTTCATTTTGTCTTAATTTTTTTTCTGTATTTTCAAATGCATTACATTTAAACTTCAAATAACTACCCTAGGAAAGATCTGGCATGGCCTGTACACTTTAAACACTGTGGCCCAATACTGCCTCCTGTTGAATCCAAGCACATTTTCAAAATCATTGCTGTACAGTTTTTTTTATTTCTTTTGGAAGAAGCAATATTCATTGCTGAGAGATTAATGGTCTGTTATTTAGAAATTCTAAACGCTGCTCTTGAATCAAGCCAGATGACCAGAGATCCAAATTCCTAGACTCCAGAGTTTTGGCTTGTATGCTTGCTCTGACTGAATGTGCTATAGCAGGCTACTGCCACTTGTTCAGCCAGTCGGTATCAGTATCTTCTGTGTGCCTGGCACTGTTCAAGTTGCGGTTTCTGATCATGAGAACAGCCTTACTTATTAATGCAGTATGTCGAGGACCTGTGCATTTCATGGTATCCCTATTTAAAATCCCTGAAGAGAGAGTTGCTCATATGTCAGAAGCAAGAAATTTTAGGGTTCTCTCTTAGGCAACTGATTTAACATGAAAGACCTTGTGAGGCTTCTTGATTATATTTGTTTCTTTTTTGGCTGCTGGAAAGTCAATGGCACCTTTTACAGCTTGCTTTTATTTTAGCATCACAACATAAACTAAAAGACTAAATTTTATAAGCAGACCTCAGTTGAAGCTTCATTTTCTTCCCGTCAAGATTCTGCTGAATTTACTTTTTAATGTTTCTTAAAGCTTCTCATTGAATCCTTTGGAATACAGGAAAATAAGGAGTCGTTCCTTATTCATTATGTATTTGAAACCTAATCTCATCAATAAAATGTTATTTTTGTCTTTCATTTTTCTTGATGCTGTTAAATATGTTCCTTTTCCCTTCCTCTAAAGTATTTCCATCTGTACTGGCTAGAATAAGTAGGAATCTTCTCTTCCTATTCCTTCCCTCACCCACAGAACACACAGAAGTACATAACAACAAAAAAGTCTTAAGTTTTAAAGCCTTAGACTGTAGTCATATCACAAAGCTCCATTACTTTTTTTTATTATTTTTTTGGGGTACGGTTGTGGGGCCTGAACCCTGGGCCTGGGCACTGTCCCTCAGCTCTTCAGCTCAAGGCTAGCACTCTACCACTTGAGCCACAGCACCACTTCTGGCTTTTTTCTTTTTGCTTATGTGGTGCTGAGGAATCAAACCCAGGGCCTCGAGCATGCAAGGCAAGCGCTCCACCACTGAGCCACCTTTCCAGCCCCTCCATTACTTCTTAAGCTGATTCTTCAGAAACATTTATGATCGACTCCTTTTGATTAAATGTATCTTGTATCTTTGACCTTGATGCATTTAGGAAAGTTGACTTTGAATGTTTATTTGAAACAAGTAAGGAAACTCTAAAGAGTGCCTGTTAATTCTATCTGTGTCTGCAACATTCATTTTAAGAGTGGTGTTTTAAAAGAACAGGATATTCATTCATAAAAGCAAAATTAAATGTTGCCCCCTCCAGCAGTATAATTAACCAAGGAGGGGAAATAACAGACCTAGTGAGGTTTATCAACACATATATGAAGAGTAAGACATTTCAGCTTAGAACTCAACAAACAAGAATAGCAGACAAAAGACAAAAGGCCCTAATAAAGAACTCTGGTTTAGTTTTTGATCCAGTCAGTCTTAGCTGTTACACCAGGAAGTAAGTAAGATGTTTTGTCTTAGTCTCCTAATTGCAATTAAGCAGGGAGCAAAGCTAGTTTCCAGCTTCAAAAATCTTAGGCCATATATGTTCATTGTAATCAAAATATTTTTTACCATTTGTCACACAGTACTTGTAAATTAGTCTAAATTTAATCCTTTAAAACTCTACAGAGTCCTGGAAATGGTGGCTTCAAGCCTATAATTCTAGCTATTTGGAAGTGCAGAGGAAGAGATCACAGTTAGAGGCCAGCCTAACATAAATAAATTCACTAGACTCATCACAACCAATGGCTATACATGGTGACACAAGGAAGCACACGAGCATCAGGCCAGGCCAACCTTGTCATAAAGGAAGACACTATCTCAAAAAGTAAATAACATCAACAGGACAGGCAGAGGGGCTCAAATGATAGAGCACAAGCCGAAAAAGTATGAGCCCCATAATTATCTCCCCCCCAAAAAAAAATTTAAAGCAGTACTATGCTCTTGACTAGCCAAAGACAATATTATCTTGCCCGAGTAGTAACATTTTTTTCCTCTTCATTTATCCCTGAAAACTTTATCCCCCAACAGTTCTTTAGCTCTACATTAGACTTTAATCATGTTTCTAGGCCAAAGAACTAAGCATAAACCAAGGTACTGATCTCTGTTTGCCATACAATTAAAATAATGCTTTGAAATTCTGGTTTAAGTTATTTTTTTTTTCCTTCTCCTAGATATGGGTCATCTCCAGGTAGATTACAGAGATAACAGGCTGCACCCAGGCAAGGATACTTCACTGGACTCCATTGTCTCCGTTGTGGTGCCCATAATAATATGCCTCTCCATCATAATAGCACTCCTGTTCATCAATCAGAAGAAACAGTGGGTACCACTGCTGTGCTGGTATCGAACACCAACTAAGGTACAGTTCTGGGAAAGTCTCCAGAATGATGGAATGATGGAACTAGGAAAGTTTTACCCACCTTACATTTCCAAAACTTCCTAATACCCTTTATAGTTGCCAATTTATACTTTGCTATTTTATTTCGCTATTCATAGCCTTAAACATATATCGGTCTCTAGGAACCAAATACACAGTACTTGCCTAGATTGGGTAGATTGGGTCAATTATCCGTCATCCAGTAGTTAATGAGTTCTGACCTCATAGACCAACTTCTGGGTGTACTTTCAAATGAACAAATACCTCTGCATTAGGAGTTGTTCAACAGTGATACCTCATATTTCTCACTCATCTTAGAATCTGGAGAGAAATCATGAAAGGGGAGAGATCATTCTTAAGAGAAAGCAACAAGAACACTGAAAGATAAGGATATACAGAAGTGCAGAGGGCAGGTGGATGTGTCCAAGGCAAGCATGAAGGGGAGAAGTAGCTCAGGATAAAGAAGCTGGGGCAGCACCAGACAAAGTAAAGGCAGACTCGCGGGGGGGGGGTATTTTTTTTAATAAAAGAGCTTAATCTAGCTATTTAAATCAGAAAAATAAATTAAGGGAAATAAATTATAATTCAACTCCAATCCTTTATGCAACCTTGCAGACTAACAGTATTCCAAATAACTACTTAATTAGTTCACCAACTAGTTAACCTTGCTGTATAAATTTCTTGTCACCATGGTTAGCTTGCCTCTGACTTTCCGTTGGCAAATATGCATGGGACACAGCTTGTGTACTGGGCACCTGGCTGGGTCAAGCAAACAGTGCTAAGCAAGACCAGATTCAAGTCTAGTATGGTATCTAGTCTATATTTTGACCATCAACACATTGGGATGCTATTGCCTTGCCTGAATTAGCTCCTAGATATTTGTTTATTTGGGTTATGTAAGGCATCTAATTCATTGTCCTTTCTTCCTCCTCTCACTAAATAGCCTTCTTCCTTGAATAATCAGCTGGTATCTGTGGACTGCAAGAAGGGAACCCGAGTTCAGGTGGACGGTTCCCAGAGAATGCTAAGAATTGCTGAACCAGATGCGAGATTCAGTGGCTTCTACAGCATGCAAAAACAGAACCATCTACAGGCAGACAATTTCTACCAAACAGTGTGAAGACAGGCAGCAGGGATGAGGCTTTAAAAGACAGAAAACAACGAAATCTGCTCTTAAACGTAAACTAGAATTTGTGCACTTGCTTAGTGGATTGTATTGGATTGTGACTTGATCTGCAGCGCTAAGAACTTACTGGGATGGGCTCTGTCTACAGCAATGTGCAGAACAAGCATTCCCAAATTTTCCTCAAGATAACTGACCAAGTGTTTTCTTAGAACCAAAGTTTTTAAAGTTGTTAAGGTATTACTTGCTTGTAAAATAGCTGTAGAGATATTTGGGGGTGGGAACAGTGAGTTTGGTTGGGAAAATGGGTGGGAGGGTGGTGTTGGGAAGAAAAATTGGTCAGCTTGGCTCGGGGAGAAATCTAGTCAAATAAAAGCAGTTCATGGCCCAGAGGATATTTTTTTTTTCCTGTTGCTCTGAAGACTGCACTGGTTGCTGCAAATCTCGGGCCTGAATGAGCAGGAAACAAAAAAAAAAAAAAAAAAAGGCCTTGCGATCCAGCTGCTGTAAACCACCTTAGAACCACCAGAACTTTGATAGCCATCCCAGGTCTAAAGCCACAGTTTTTCTATACAGTCACAACTGCACAGGCAGTGAGGAAGCCAGGGAAATGCGATAGCCACATTTCTCTAAAGCGGGTTATTAAGAATCTATACAATTATACTTTTTGCTGCTTTTTGTTTTCTTCCAAGCCAATCAGCCAGTTCCTAGCAGAGACAGCAAATGAACAAGAGCTAAGCCATTTCTTGATGTGAGCACTGGAGTTTTTCTTACAAAGTGGCAGGAAGAAGGGAGAAGGGAGGACACCAGGCATTTCCAGGGCTGTATTCATTGTTTCTCGTTGCTTTGTTCTGTTATGTTGTTGGTTGTTCATAGTTTTGTGTTGAAGCTCTAGGTTTTTAAAAAAAGACTGGGGATTTCTTTCTTCCTTATTATATACTGATTCTACAAAATAGAAACTACTTCATTTTAATTGTATATTATTCAAGCACCTTTGTTGAAGCTCAAAAAAAATTATGCCTCTTTAAACTTTAGCAATTATAGGAATATTTATGTAACTATCTTATGCTTCAAAGAACAAAAGTATTTGTGTGCATGTGTATATAATATATATACATATATATTTATACACATACAATTTATGTTTTCCTGTTGAATGTATTTTTATGAGATTTTAACAAGAACAAAGGCAGATAAACAGGCATTCCATATCAGTGCTTTTGATCACTTAACAGATTTTTTGAATAACATAGAATCTCATTCTACCTGCAGTTTAATTGGAAAGAAAAATGTTTGTGCAAGGGTGTGTGTGTGTGTGTGTGTGTGTGTGTGTGTATCAAGCAGCCAGCATCACACCTGCTATGGAGAGGATTCCTTAATCAAAATCTTCCTTATTTGGATTTGCTTTCAGTTGGTTTTCAATTTGCTTACTGGCCAGAAACATTGATGGCAATTTTTATCTGCATCACTAATCAGCTCCTGGATTTTTTTCAAACAACTGTTTGAAACAACTACTGGAATATTGTCCACAATAAGCTGGAAGTTTGTTGTAGTTTGCCTCAGATAACTGACTGTATACTATAGTGTTAACTTTTCAAACAGCTCTTAGCACTTTTATACTAATGACCCATTTGTGCATTGATTTTTTTTCTTTTAAAAATGCTTGTTGTGAAAGACACAGATACCCAGTATGCTTAATGTGAAAAGAAAATGTGTTCTGTTTTGTAAAGGAACTTTCAAGTATTGTTGTAAATACTTGGACAGAGGTTGCTGAACTTTAAAAAAAATTAATTTATTATTATAATGACCTAATTTATTAATCTGAAGATTAACCATTTTTTGTCTTAGAATATCAAAAAGAAAAAAGAAAAAGGTGTTCTAGCTGTTTGCATCAAAGGAAAAAAAGATTTATTATCAAGGGGCAATATTTTTTATCTATTTCCAAAATAAATTTGTTAATGATACGATGTTACCAAAATAGATTTACATCAGCCTGGTTAGTATAAAATTTTGTTGACAATTAATCCATTCCTGGCATAAAAAAGTCTTTATCAAAAAAAATTGTAAATGCTTGCTTTTTGTTTTTACAATCACGGCCATATGAAAATACTAACAGGATATAGGACAAGGTGTAAATTTTTTATTATTATTTTAAAGATATGATTTATCCTGAGTGCTGTATCTATTACTCTTTTACTTTGGTTCCTGTTGTGCTCTTGTAAAAGAAAAACAAATATAATTTCCTGAAGAATAAAATAGATATATGGCACTTGGAGTGCACCATAGTTCTAGTTTGCTTTTGTTTTCTTTAAAAAGGAAAGCTGTAAGGGGTGGTTTGCAACTTGGTTCTTGGCAGCAAATAAACACCCTGAGTTTAAAAAAATCACACACTTTGGAAAAGACTTCTTATTTGGGATCAGGAAGATGAACAGTCCTTTGAAGGTCAATGAACCTCTGGCAAGACAGAAAAGTCCCAGGTGGCCCTTCTCCCAGGAATCCGGGCAAAAGTGCCCAAGTACACTGTACAGGGTACTGTTCTCAGGAAGACCTGAAGCCTACCTACCTATCAGAAATGTGTTCATCACTAACACAGGCTGACCACCATCCCTTACCCAAAATACTTGGGATCAGAAGTGTTTCAGACATTGAATTTCTTATAGTTTGGAACTATTTGCCTGTACATAATAAATTGAGACCAGACCCAAATACACATTATACATATATAGTCTGATGATAATGTACACAATTTGGTTGGTGTACCTGCTTTCTCTACTCTATCACATAAGGTCCAGGTATGCAATTTTCTACTTGTACCATCAAGCTGATGCTCTACAACTTGGATTTCCATTTTAGGGATTTTCGCCCTTTATCAAAACTACTTCATGAGGCACAAGGAGGAATATGCTGGGAAACCCCCCAATAGCTTACTGAGAAAGAACCAAACAAAATTACAGAATTAATTAAAATAAGACTGAGAACTGATAGGGAAAAGTCATTACAACTTTCATATGATTTAGAAGCATCAGCCAGAATGAGCTATAAACAGAACAATCAGTTGCACCAGAACATTATACTATATCTCCTTTAAAGCTACATTTCTTTAGTATTTTAAGGCATCCATTTTATAAATTCAGATCAAATTAAGTTAACATTTCCTCAGTATACAACATCAGCTTGAGGGGAAGTAGCAAGTTCCATATCTCACTATCAAAGAAAACAGTAACAAAATAATAATCTGAAGTTCTACATACCCCTGGAGAACAGCTGACATGCCAGGCTGATACCTAATTGCAGACAGACCTACTGTATCTTATTAAGCAGAGGAAGGAGAATGGGTAGTACACTCACAAGATGCTAAAGTAGAAACATAAAAGCCACTAATGGCAGGGTCCATGAAGACTACACTCACATTGGAGAGGGGGCTGCCACAGCTCTGGACTCAGCCCCACTAAATTGAGGAGGAGCTACCATTACACAGTGGTTTGGTATGACCTAGAAGTCTTCCTCTCCCTTTAGCATCCCGAGGTTGCTAATCAGTGCTTCACCAGCTCCCACACTGTAGTGGCAGACTGTACAGAAAAAAGTAAAAACCTAGCTCTGCAAGGGAAAATGAAATGCAACAAAAACCCAAGGTTCTTCAGTATATATTATTTTTACATTTATTAAATGTCATCAACTTGATTGAATCTGGCAAAAATGTTCATGATTGAATGTAGCATCCATGAATTGCTGTTTTGCAGGATTAAGCTCAAGGAAAGCACAGGGGCATGAATTAACACCAGTTATCAACAGCAATTTCTTCACACCTTAAAGGACACCAAGTCCTTTCAAGGCCCACACCCTCACAGACCAGGGAACAGACATTTACACAGCAGAAGGTAACAAGATTCTAAAGTGGCAACCAAAATGACTAAGAATACGAACATGAAACAAGCAGCAGCCCACAACACCAGGCCTCAAGAGTCTCCACATTAATCAGAGCCAAAGGGATACATGTTGGGGGGCATTACTGCTTCAAAAAAGTCCGAGTTGTTAAGTTTCAGTCTCTGGACAACACTGGTAGGTAATATGTATACTGACAGTTCTCATAAAATTGTGCATTGCTTCCTGCCATCACTGGAAGATAGCTGTAGTCTAAAACCTCCCAGTGCTTTAGCTCTTCAGTGCAGGTTAGATGTAGAAAACCATAAAAGCTCAAATGGAGTATATTGTCAGTTAACAAAAAATATAACTGTGCACAATTAATATTATCCTACTGTAACAATGTAGAGAAGAGTTTGTTAGAGTGAGTTTACCAAAATCCATCTCTAGAATTCAAAAGCGTGCCATAGTACTCTTGACTCTATATAAAGAATTAGTGAAGTCTTCATCTGTTAATACTGAATCCCAAACCCAAGTCCAAGTGTGTTGGGTTTCCAATAGCAGGAAGATTATGTAGCAAGTCTTCCAAATAGTGCTGTAAGAAATTGAGCTCGCAGTTCATATAAAGTAAAACTGTTCCTGCAGCCACATGGTTCTATGTTGGACACAGAACTAGAAGAAAAAGAAGAAACCTTTGAGGGAGAAATGTATTCTCTGCATAGATGTACACCAAATGACATATACACATTTTATATACACCTTACATGTATATAAATGACGTGATGAGAACCCAGTGTTAACACAAGGATCTACAATAGCAAAAACATGTTCACAGGTTTTAAGATCTACCCAGAAGCCACATTAATTTACACCAAATGAAGTCTACACATTTTATATACACCTTAAATGTATATAAGTTATGAGACAAGAACTGAACATGGATGCAAGGATCTACAATAGCAAAAAAATGTTTATAAAGGTTTTAAGAAGATATAATAACTAGAATTTAAGACACATTAACTAGAATTTCCCAGAAATGAGACACCAAAAGTCCATGCCTCTTTAGGGTAACACTTAGAGAGGCAAGCCTGTAACACCCTACACCACGATGCGTTTAGCAGCACAGCCCCCGGTGAAGTCAAAGAAGGGTGTGAGACTCTGCACACATTTTCATCCCTGTCTAGGATCCCTTCCTAGCAGTAGCCAGGCCTGGCCTTTGGTACTGTAGCTAAATGGAGGGTGGCAACAGGCCACAGTGGGACAGAGAAGCAGGTGTGGGGAAAAGATGCACCGGTCACACAGCACCTGGCCTATCTTTCACCTTCTTTCACTTCTGACCTTCCTTTGCATTAGAACCAAGGCAGCAGCCAGATCAAGCTCATCTGTGTTAAAACAATGACAAGACGAGCCAGTCAGGAGGAAGGATCCAGACAAGGGGAAGGAGCATCTCCCTCTGACCAGTAACCTCCTCCCAGACTCTTTATTACTGGTGCCAAGGAAGAGGGATAGTTGACAGGCTGCGAATGTTCACAGGATGGGTGGAAAAGAGCATTTGAAACTCCTCCCCGTCAGGACCCTCCTCCCCCCACCCCCCCACCCCCTCCTCCAGCCCTCCACCCCCCGACCCCGCCCAACCTCTTCAGTTTCACAACGGCAGAATCACACCACTGGAGTCTGAGTCGCAGCTTCTTTTCCACCCAAAAGCAGAGACAAAAGCACAATGCATGCGTGCAAACAACATATCAGAAGCAGGAACAGTCTGAACAGAACTGGGCTTACAGATGGTAGCCAGTGGCTGGAGCACTAGGAGTCCAACTAGATGGGTGCTCTTCACTAAGGCATGTGGGAGAGGCTCACAATTACAATTTCTGAGTCAAGGATTAAAATTCACTTTCCTCAGAGCACTCTGCTCCGAGGGTCATAACAAACTTCCACGGAGACAAACATTGACATAGCTTATCTCTGGCACTACCCTAGGGACCCGTTATAAAATTCAAAAAAAAATTTAAAAAGACATGGTTCTTTATGTTTGTCTCATTCCTGTTCAACATCTAGAAGAACAAACCTAGAACAATCCAGCTTTCTCATATCAATGCTAGCATAACATAAAAGCAAACAAAGATGTCAGGTATTAAAAAATACTTCATAATTTAACAGGGAGAAAAAGGTCATCAGGAAAACAGTGCATTCAAAACTGGCATTCATTCGATTTTTTTTCTACCCATGTAAACTCCTCACTAATGGCTGGCTCCTGCTTTTACATCCAGAGTAAGTAACTTTGATTCACTTTCAGCCTCTTCGCTTTTTATGAAGAATATGGTTGACAAAAAGCACCCCCCTGAAATTTAGAAATCCCCAGGAATCCTACGTTCAGGCATTTCTGTAATGCTTCAAAATTCTCTCTGTGGATAATTGATGTTTTTCATGTTCACTGGTATTAGTTTTGTCGAAAACTAAGTTCAGTTCTTCAGTCCTCACTGTCCCATTCCAGATTTTAGCTTTTTATTCATACTCCCATCCAGTGTGAACTTGATGCTGCTCCTCAGTATATGGCTCATTTTTCACTATCCCCAGTTGGCAAAAGTCATTCTTTTGATTTTCCCCTTCCCTTTGCCCACTACACAACCCAATTTGTATGCATCTTGGTACTGTTAACTGCTTTGACTGTTTTGTCCATCCATCCTCACTGCCCTTCCTTTCCTACTTTCCAAGATCACAGCTTGCTCTTCTCAAGCCTCCCCTCTGTCCACACCTGGTGCACATGTAGATACAGCAATGGCCTATCAGTTCTCTACTGCCTCGCTCAGCGTACAGAACTCAGACGTGGACATTATTTCCAGCCCAGTATCTCCAATGAAAGCTCAATCTTATACAGCCACATGTTGGTAGCATATGTCAGTCACTTATCTATCTTCCTTCTGTTCATTAAGATTAATAAAACTGTGCATTCATAAGATATTTCTTAATTTGTTAGCAAGATGATGTATTTACTGACTAATCAAAGCTTCCCATCCACTGCACACATACCATTCTAAAACTCACCTTTCAGTATGTAGTCAGTCAATAAGCTTGGAACTTTTTCACTGTCCTCCTTCATAGCACGAAGAACTAAAGTAAGGAGAAAAAGACAAAAGGCAGCAATTTAAAGTGTAGATGAAAAGTAATATTTAATTCAAATAATGCAGTATTAATGATATAACAACTGATTCATACATATCAAGGATTATTTCCTAAGTAAGAAAATACACTAAATTAGGCTCAAGTTCAGTTGAATGAGTCCTTAGAGTTATTTCGAGGTCATTCCTAAGCACTGGAGACAGGAAGGAGGAAGTGAGCTATTTTCATGGCACCTCCGCCTTGTCACAATAAGTACTGTGAGGTGAGTTACGGTCATGTGGACTTTGATGAACTCTGGATTTGGAGGATCTCGGTGCTGTCAATCATACAAATGGGAGAAACCCCTGGATAAACAGAGAGGTAGCTATACACTCCAAGGAGCACATCTGCCAGACTTGGAA